AGAGTTCAGATACAAAAGTAACACTAAAATATCGACTCGGGGAATAATATTTCTTGGGACTTATAGTACAATCAATCAATTTGGTACAATCTGGCTGTCCGACTTTGAAATAACATTGTTCAAAAAACCAATATTTTTGAATTTATTTCCTTTCAGAGATACAGAAGAGTCTCAGCTGAGACAACAACGCGTTAAAATAAAAGTTTGTAAACGAATTTGTCTTGAAATTTTCCCGGGCCTTTTACGGAAGTTGGTGAGCGATCGAATATACGTGTTCGCGTACTACAGATCCAATATTGTACGCGGGGGAGTTAATGCAATTCGTAGGAAAGTGCAAACGCGAATTTAAATGGCTCTGCATCGCGCATCGGAGCACTCTGCGTCGCTTCCGCGATGTCGTAATAATACGATAGACGGGTAATTGTAGCGGGACAGCGATTTTTATTCACCTTTCAGGTATAGTCGCGTCGAAGTTGACACACACGTGCCGCCTCGACCTTGCCGCGAGATCAGAGAGGAGCGGCAGCATCCTCCAATCGAAGAGGACACCTCTCCTCAGCCGTCAATTACAAGCTGGGGAAACACGTCGCGCGGCACGCTTCCGCTCGATCGGACCGATGGAAATTCGATATCCCAAGGTCGTCGGACCTAATGTCACCGTCGCCGTGTCAGCGGAGCGTGGCGTTTCACTCGGTTACGCTCTCGCGCTCTGTCACGCACCCGGCACTCGCGCACGCGAATCCGATTTCTGCCGTGGGGGAGGCACAAACGAAGAGAAAAGAAAAAGAGAAATCGCTCGTCCCGATCGAGTCATATCCTCCTCCTCCTTTCTCTTCTTCCTTCTCTTCCTCTTTCTCCTCCCAGGGGAGACTAACGAGAGGAGTCAAGCCTCCTCTTTGCACGCTAAACGCGCTTCGATGATCGCGTCGTTGCACGCGTCGCGGGACGACAGGTAGGATCCGTAAATATTGACGACACGATTCCCGAGTAACTTCTGTTGTTCTTCCTGTTTCCCTTTTCTTGCCGTATGCCGCGCTTCAGTCTATCCGCTGACGTCGTTGTCATTGTCAACACGGATAATGAAGTTGATTCCCGTGGAAAGAAAGCGGCTTCGCGCGTAAGTCGGCAAACGTGATTTGCGGCTCGTTAGGTAGACCGAGGGAGTTATTGCGCGCAGGATCATTAAGTAACGAGGAGCGCTCGACGACGTGTATTCGCGTGTCAGGCCCGCGGATTCCGGCTTCATTAGACGAGGGGGTCGTCGAATTCGCCGTTGCGCGTCGCTCCTCGGGACCGAGAGAACGGCGGTTGCTCCGACGCAAAAGTGACGTCGCAGTTATCGCGGTCCGAAGAGGGAGAGAGGGGGAGAGAAAGAAAGAGAGAGAATCATATGGTCGCGTTCGACAATGGGAGCGAACACGGGCGCCGTGTTTTTACAATGTATATACACACGTAGATGCGAGACGATAAACGCGCGCGAGGGACGTTTCTACGTTTGTTTTTTTTACAGCTCGTTTTCCGAGCAGCTGATGGAAACCTCTCGGAAGCTGGAGGATTCCCCCGACGGAACTATGTGAGTCGTTCAAAAAGTACGCGGCCTGACGCAAAAACAGCGCGAATTTGATGAAATCTTTATTAGCGTATCTCAAAGCCATCTTTTGTTATTCCTAGTTAGGCTAGGTTAAATCTAAAATCCAAGTGATCTGTCGATCAGTTTTCGTTCGATAGTACGCCAAAGTGAACGCTTCCAGTATCTCTGTGCGTTCATTGTTGTGCCTGTCTCTTTGTTTTTGAAGCGAGATGGTAGACTCTAGGTTTCATCGATGGCCGTAAATCGATGCTAAGTCTTTCAAATTGCGACGGAATTATGCCAAAAGGTGCGAGAAACAATGAAACTGTTCAGTTGAGTCTTTGCTGATGCGACCAAGCGCAGGATCCATCGCTCTCGCAGAGTTCACTTTGGCCGCGCTGTCAAAGACTAATCGACAATCGCTCTGTACTGTCATACTTACAAAGGATGGAATACGGTAATAAAGATTTGTTTAAATTCACGCTATATCTGTATTAAGCTACATACTCTTTGAATGACCCACGTATAACCGATGCGCGCGATCAGGGGATCACTGTCAAAGGGACAAAGGCTCACGATGAGCCACAAGCGTGAATCTCGCAACAAACACACGCACAGCCCGTCGACTTTTTGTCAAGGATGGAGATCGCTTTCGATGTCGCTGGCGTTACCGCGGAGTCGCCGTCATCGTCGAGTTCGTGGAGCGTGCGTCATCGTAATCGCGCGGCTGTTTGCTCGAGGCGATTTGCACGACTCGATAAAACGATAAGGGGATCGGTCGCGATGACGGCGTCGATCGGGCGAGCGAGTGAGTAGGCAGGCGGCCAGGGCGATGATCACAGGCCAAGGCAGGCAGGCGAGCAGGTGGATGAAAACACCGTGTCACACGAGGAGCGTTATCGCGCTCGCTCGCTCACGATACGGTGTCGAAGGTCGATCGCATTTTTCCGTAGAGAACCTCTTCGATCCGGGGTGTTCGCGCGTGGCGCGCGACGAGGAGACGAGACGAGAGGAAAGGAAAGGATAGAGAGAAAGAAAGAGGTGAGGTGAGGTGAGAGACGCGTTGTACGACGCGTCGTAGCGCACGACGTCGCGAGGGAAACGGTTCTTTACGTACCTCTGCGATTGAACGGCCGTACCCGTACGGCGACCTTTATTTTATCCGTAGCCATGACTTCTGCACACCGGCGACGGCGAAGGCGCGCACACTTTCGTATCCCCTATCACCGTAACCGAAGAGAACACCACCGCTCGACGACGCAGTTTACGTGCACGATTACGTCGGACTCTCGCACGATACGCACGTCACCGCTACATTATTCTCAACCCATACCGCGAACTTGTCATTCTCTCAAACGACACTACGTCTCACCGTGCCCCCCGTGACACACTTCGCCATATTGCTAAAAGCCCGTGCGCCAGACAAAACGACGGCCGTCCGTCCGTTCTATCGAGGCTATCGAGTGAGACTGTGCTTCCGGGGATCGCCGCTGGGGTCGCTCGCGCGGTTCGATAGCAGTGCTGGCAATTCGCGAGATTTTTCTCGCGACGGAAACCTTCTACGCATGCGTAGTGTGACGTAGCAGTCTACTATTGGATATCGTATCGTCCACGCATGCGTAGAAGGCCTTCTGTCGCGGAGAAAATCTCATAAACTGCCAGTACTATTCGATAGGCGCGCGCGACGTCACGCGCGAGGCATCGCCGGCCTCGCAGTGGCGACATGTCGCGATGGTGAGCGGAAACGAGTCGATCGAGTGTGCAGTCGATCTTTTATCGACCGCGAAGTGATATGGCGGTAATATTGATATCTACTTTATCATCTTTGTATGATGGCGAATGGATGCTTTCTTCCTTGCTTCAATATTTTGATATGTATTGGGAATATAGTATGCGTGCAATATCTTCGAACGTCGATTCTTCGCTCACATATTGACTTTTTCCTGAATTCTTTTAGAGTAACTTGGTTTAGAGTAACTTTCTCTGAATGCGGAGATTATTCAGTCCGTACGTTATTCCTTATAGAAATTTAATACTGATAAGTGATAATTTGGCCAATGATAATTACTGTTGTTCAATAATTTTATTATTCGTACGAGTAATAAAATTACTATTTATTACTGGCCAATTTATTACTCCCAGTGATACTTTTCTATAAGAGATGACAAGGCGCTACTCCGTGCGCAGAATTATTTTACTTTATAAACGATGAGATGATTCTTTTTATTCGGAGTCACGAAAACGTCTTGAAATATTGAGAGTGCTGCATTCAGAAGGACTGCAATGAGAAAAAAATTAATGATATTTAAATCATGTGATAATTACATACTTTGTTTCAATTTCCTTGAAACCTATAATTTCCAGAGAGAAGAAGGAGAAGAACTATGGGGCGCTGTAGCCGAGCTGTATGCGAAGCACTTTCTGTACAACCGTGGGTCTGTTTTCTATTATTGAACTGGCATTAGGTCTCTCTCATCTTTCTTTCACTAAATTTTATCTGTATATCTGCCTCTTCTTAAGTTCCGAAAGTGTTCAGCAATAGAAAACAGATCCTGTGCACATACCCTTATAGAAATGTAATATTACTGGTACGAGTAATAAAATTATTGAACGACAGTAATTATCACTGGCCAAATTATTACTTATCAGTATTACATTTCTATAAGGGTAGACTATCCAATGTCCATAATTTTTTAATTTTGTTCTGTTAAGTACATGAGTGACATGAATTAGATAAAAACGGACAATCATAACTCCTTTTCTTCTTTTCTCTAATTTTATCATATATTCCCTCTATTTAATTTTAATTTTATAAGGCTACGTTCCTTTTGAACGCTTAGTCTCGATCTACAATAGGTGTAGTAAGCTTTAAACCTTAAGAAATTGACCAATCACAATGGAATTATAGAAGAATAATTAATTGTGATTAGTTAATTTCTTACGGCTTAAAGTTTGCTACACCTATTGTAGATTGAAACTAATGCCCGTATTTATAGTCAGACCTTATATTTAAGATTTCCTCGAGTTTATCTTCAGATACTCTGTAGTCTATAAAATGATCCGTAGAGCATCTGAAGATGAACTTGAGGAAGCCTTAAATATAAGACCTGACTATGAATACGGGCATTAGTCTCGATCTACAATAGGTGTAGTAAGCTTTAAACCGAAAGAAATTAACCAATCACAATTGATTATTCTTCTATAATTCCACTATGATTGGTCAATTTCTTAAAGTTTAAAACTTACTATACCTATTATAAATCGGGACTTAGGGCCGTGACACACAGAAAAACTTAAGCAGTAAGGGCTATTGCACCAAATTGACATAACTGCATATGCATAGCATAAAATCGTATGGACCAATGAGCATCGAATATTAAGCATCGAACACCAATATGGCGACTTAATACTCGATGCTCATTGGTACATACGGTCTTATGCTATGCATATGCAGTTATGTCAATTTGTGTGCGATAGCCCTTACTCTGCATGTAATTTCACCCTAAATATTGTGTCCTTATAGGTAATGTTAGGTTAGTACACATATGACATATTTGGCGGCAACTTGTCCATCTTAAACTCGTAAGAAATTAAAAATATTAGATCTTTATCGTGATTGTACATAAGCAGAAGATAAACAAAACATTAATATGACAATGTTTACAGACAATTGAAGAGAGGTTGAAAATATTTGAGAGATTCGTTAAAAATGATTGTTAAATTAGACAAGATAATAAGCTATTCCTCAGAGCATCCATCGTATCCTGCTGCTAATCTTCTTGAACGTAATTCAGAAAAATGGAAAGCGTGGCGATGCGCCAAACCAGGGGAAATGCTCGCCCATGTCATCTTCCAACTCACGGAATCGTCTTATATTACTGGAGTTGATATCGGTAATTTCCAGAGTTGTATAGTGATTGTTACTGGATCCACAGCATCTGAACCTGATAACTGGATGGTTATTGTGAACCATAAATTCATGACAAATGACGAAGCCGCAAATAATAAATTTAAAGATCAGGTACAAATATTCACAAAGAGAGAGTTGAATCCTGATACACTGAAAATTAAATTTGATCGAATTAAGGTTACCTGCATGCAGTCAGCAAATTTGAAAATATTATTTGGGCTATCATATATCATTCTACGATCAGATGCTATAGTTGATTTAGGTTTAGATATGTTTGGCAAATTTAAATTGAAGCAACCACATGTCATGAAGACCCCCATGGAGATGATGAAGGAAAAGCTCACTAAAGTAGAAGATAAAAAAATAGATTACAAAGAAGAGTTACGTGAGCAAATAAAAAAGAATTCAATAGAAAGTTTCTCTAGGTCTCAACAGGAGAAAAAGCCTATGAAAAGACCATTGTTGGAAAAGCTAGAAGCTGGAAAATCTGATGAAATTTTTGGAAAGAAGGATAAAGAGACTTCAAACTGCCAACTGCAAAAAAATAAAAATGGAACATCTGATAGCGAACCTAAAAGTACTGAAGTTACATTGAATAAAAAAGCAGTTGTCAGAACTCCCTTTGGAGATATAGTACCTTCAAAAAATACTGTTAAAAATGGTATAACAGACGCTGCTAAGAGTCCTTCAAATTCTAAAAAACGACCCTTGAGTGAGTTAGATACTTCATCAAATGTAAAATTCAATGAGAAGAGACAGCGGTGCACGGAATGTTGCAAAGAATCACAGGACCAATTGTGTAAGACTTGTCAACGATTGTCGCAGCCTGCAACTGCTGAAAATACTACTTCAGAAACAAAACACAATACTCCTGCAAGATGTAAAAAGCTGTTTAAAGAACTGTTCAGTGGCACTACCTTTTCACTCAGTGGATACGTTAATCCACAGAGAGATGAAATTAGAAGGAAAGCATTGAATATGGGTGCAAAGTACATACCTGAACCAAATACAACTAATAAAAAATGTACCTATTTGATTTGTGCTTTCAAAAATACACCAAAATATCAACAGTTCAAAAATCATACAAAGATTGTTTCTCATACTTTTATTGAGGAATGTTTTGATAAGAAAACAAGGTACATTTATATTCTATGTATCATTTTCATCGTAACTTATGAAATTATAAGATTTCACCGATTATATGCTTTTTGCAGATTCCCTTGGAGACGATATGCTTTAGATCAGAAGGACAGATCTCAGTCTGAAAGCGAAGAAGAAATTGACAGTAATCAACCACAATCTGCATATGATATGGACACTGATGCTGATTCTGATTATTGATATTTCAGTTTAAAATGTTTCCATGCATCTTTAAAAAATTCATTATTATACTTTGATAATTATGCATGTACTGTCAGATCAAATAGTTGTCACTTACTAAAATTCTATCTTAAATTTATATACTTTTTATTATTTCAATATTTATTCGAATATATACATTTAGTGCAGTAATTAAAAAATTTTAGTGAAAGCTGAATATTTGTATAAACTTATGTACATACATAGGTAAGTTTGTATTTTGGACAGACTAACTGGAATTATAACAAAAAAATAATTATAATTTGTGGAAAAAATAAAGTAGATTATTTTATTATATATTCTTGTTTTATATAGCTGTACTTTTTGTACTAGTGTAAAAAGTTGCCTTATAAATGTAAATATTTGCCTTGTAAATATTTGGAATGTCAACTATTAAAGTGTTTGAAATGTGCAGCTTATATATTAGTGATATATCAATGATATATTTACAAATATAGAATTTCAAACAAAATTTACAGTCTAATGAATTTTATTTATTTTTTTATAGTCGCGTCGTGCCCACGCGCGAGACTAGTAATGCTTTAATTTTAATAAATGTAATATACAGTAAAACATAGTAAAAAATTATATTTTCATTTATAACATAGAAAATTGTACCCCCGTGAAAATTTCTGTTTTGTGTATTCTCTTTTGATGCAGTTCTAATGTAGCTAAAAAGAACAAATATTATTATATATATTATATATATTATATATATTATATATATTTCTATAAACAATGTTGAAAATTCTTGCGATCATGTTTACGGAAAAGAATTGTGTGAAATCTGGAACTAGTTGAACATACACAATAATGGCGTACGCTCGGAAAACTTATACACTAATCTTTCAGTGAATGTCAGGATGGCAAACAGCAGTAATACGTTTGGCTTTGAGCTTTTTTCCAAATTGTATCATAGTGAAATCCAAAAAAAAGAAGACGTAATAATTTTATTTGTGCACTGGTATTTGGTGAAATGTGGACTTCAATATATCGGCATTGGAGATAATGTGAGTTTCGATCATTATATCATACGAGATTCGTTATATCATATCCTGCAATAATATTGATAATTATAGAGTTTACATTCCTCACCTCCAATTTTGACAAAAAAAATACTCAATCGACGCGTTTTTTAAACGCAAAAAACTTTTCTATTTGGAAAAATCATCGTTCTCTACTACAAAACGAGATATTAATTGACAAAGTTGATCACTATTAACCTTCCCAGCAGAGGTATCCAAAATATATCATAGGGATATCCTAAAGATATATGTGATATCTTCAAGATATCCCTATGATGTATTTGGGACATTTTTGGGTTGGTAAAAATAACGGACAGAAACAGATAGAAACAGACAGAATTTCTATCCGTTTCTAACTTAAGCTGTCCGTTCTATCTGCAACCCTTATAGAAATTTAATATTGATAAATGATTATTTGGCCAGTGATAATTACTATCGTTTAATAATTTTATTACTTGTACGAATAATAAAATTACTATTTATTACAGTCAGTGATACTTTTCTACAAGGGAAATACAACATGCGGATAGAAAATCCGCATTTGCAGCAGTACAATCTATCCGTTTCTGTCCGTATCCTGTACGTAATCAAATTTCAACTGCATCTGTCCGCAATTACGTATAAAAATTTCTGTTTTTGTCTACATCCTGTACGTCGCGATTCCTATCTGCATTCCCATACAACACAGCAACGTTGCAGCAATATTGCAGCATCATTGTTTTGCAATATTGTGACATTGCAACAACCATTATAATACACCATTTTTTCGATCGATATAAACGTCTTACATTTTGTCTATATGTGTTGTAATTAACACAGTAATATAATTTTTTGATATAATTTAATAAAATGATTTAATTTTAATAAAAATTATATTTTTCATACTTTTATTGTTAATTTAATTGTTAGTTAATGAGATAAGGTCTATAAAATCTCGCACATTTGTTATCCATTTCGTTATCTTTCATTTTTTATAGTAAACGTTTTTTTATTGTTAACTGTTATTAAATAGATAAAGTCATAAAATACTATAAACTGAGTAATTATAAAAAAGTACAATGAAAAAAGAAAAAATCCACTTATCTCTATATAAGATTTAATTAGATTAGAGTAAAAGCACCAAAAGCGACATATCACTTTGTTTTTGGACGTTATGTCTTAATATAAAGCTCAAAATATAAATGTAAATATATCTACATGTAGTTGGAAGTACCTCCTATCAGATAATATCACATTTTTACTGAAATTATTTCTAATTAATTATATTAATTATTTCTAAATCTAAATCAAAAAATGTTTTCGTACAACGCACGAAAATTAAGTTCAAAGAAAATAAGTGTCAACAGCGACATACCTACTGAAATTTATATAACATGTCGCATATATAATAATATTTGATAATAAATAGTGCATTAATGCATTTAATGGTTAAATAATATTCATTTATTCAAAATATAATGTTACAAAAAGAAAATATAATTAAATAAATATATATCTTTTTCCATCTTTTTCATTTTCTCACATATTTTACATATGTTATATTTTTAAATAAAATAAAATTGAACTTTAAAATAAACAAATGTCATTCCAGTCAGCACAAATTCGTTCCTGGAATATCTTCCGACCTTCCAGTAGGAAGATTTAAATATTCGTAGAAAGTTCTTTTAAGAAGATAAATATTCTGGGAATATTCTTACGTTTTCAAAAGAATACTATCTTAAATATTCTAATAATATTCTTTGGGAATATTTCTACATATTTCTACATATACTCATAGAATATTCTATGCATGATTTAATTTTCGATCGAGAAATATTCTACACCGGAAAAAAAGTTTGTTAGAAAAGTTATTAAATAAAAAGGAAGATCTTTAATCCTAGAATATTTGTTATATAGAATATTGCTAATGTGACTCTAGTTATTGCAATCTTTTTATAATGGTGTGCCATTTAATTAATTCCATTTATAATTTGCTTGGAAAAAATCGCTGATTCCAGTCGAATCTGAAACCTTTTTATAATTCTTGAGGAACTCGCCTTACCTACTGAGCCACTGCTATTAACTAATGAGAACGACTATTATAATGATACATGTGCCGTTCGCTTTGAGCGCTTATGAAGTATTTGAAGTATTCTTTATTAATGTACTTAATTTAGTACAGAGTAAAAATTTTCAATTAGCTGCTTCAAACTTTTCAATATATGAAAATGGGTGTATTCCGCATATAAATATAACGGGTGTATACCACATATGCTTACAAGATTATTTTCCGAATATTTGAATATACAAGGTTTCTTGAATATTTGAAAAATCATTTTCGTCGAATATTCCATAAAACGCACATATTATTCAATTATAAATATTCCAATTATAAATGTACCGACAGTTAAATTACAGAGAAGATTCATATAATGATATTGGAATATTCATTTCATAATATTCGTATAAGAAGATTTATAGGTTTTTCCATGAATATTATGTGCTGGCTGGGTGTGTACTAAAGCAGGAAATTCGTGCTCTTATATAAAGAAGTAATGTAATGTGCAATAAAATTAATCAATCGAAATTTTCATATTCATTCTATATATTCATATTCATATTCATTCTCATGCTATATATATTTTTCTATTTATATTTTCTTAGAAAACTATTTTAAACTATTTTTGGAAATCTTCCTCATTAATGTACCGACAGTTCAATACAGAGCAGAATTTTTCATTTAGATCCCAGGTAGCAAGGTGACGTCTTTAGACGTCACCTTGCTACTTGGGATCCTTATAAATTTATAGTACATAAAAATGAATCTAGGACCACAATTGTATATAAGATTATTTTTCGAATATTCCAATATACAACCCACACAGAACAAAACTTCCATTAGACGTCTATAGATCATCCATAGCTCCATCAAATATCCATCTCCACGGTGGACGACAAGTGGATCTCTAATGGACGTCCATAATTCATCGATGATGGATATCCATATAACATCCATCGTGGACGTCCACTGTACATCTATTATGGATGTGCAATAGATTTTTACATTTAATTTTGTATTGAATTTCAGTACGACTTCTATTGTATTATAGCTTTTCAAGTAGAACATAAGAATCATAATGATATCAATATGACGTCATTTTGACCAAACAATGAACAAATTTATGTCAATTATCAGCAAAAAAAATATTAAATTAATATAATTTTGATTATGTATTACTTGGGCTATTCCTAACAATATAAAAGATGATTGTAATTAAAATATATATTAAATAGTGTGAAAACTTTTTTATTTTTATTACAACATTGACATAAAATAGATCTTTCACAATACCGATTCATTTTAACATCAATGTCATAAAATTGTTATGAAAATGGTATTGCTTGACGTCAAAATGACCCCATATAGTAGAGATGTTCAAAATATATCATAGAGACATCCTAAAGATATATTTGGGATATGTGATATCTTCAAGATATCTCTATGATGTATTTGGGATATTCCTGCTGTGTGGAACATTACTTTTATATCATTTGACGTCATTTTGATTTTTATATGATTTTGTGTTCTACCTGCTCTACTGAAAAATCCAGCTGAGATCTCAATTGAAAACTCAATTACAGAGTAATTACTCTGTCAAAATATTGCAAAAGAGAAGGAAAGAATATTCTTTCTCTTTTGCGAGCACGTTGTATGTTAAAATTTGATTACTTATACAACATTATATCAATATTAATCGCATTGTGATTGTTATTACGTCCTTTGAAACATTTATTGACAAATATGTCATTATATTATATTATATTTTTGAACGCTATAAGAGTATATTGTAAATGCAATCCACCAAGATATTGTTACAGCGCAGTAGTATCACTAGTTCCCGACGATCGTTGAAGTTAAGTATTGAAGAGCATAGGCCGGTATTCATAATCGGATCTTATATTTAAGATCGTCTTAAGTTCATCTTGAGATGATGTATGGATTATTTCATTGGCTATTGAATATCTGGAGATAAATTTAAGCAGCTTAAATATAAGATCCGACTATGAATACCGGCCATAGTCATCTAAAGATGGGTGCCGTCTGACACGAGATCGAATCCACGTGAATCTCACGAATAAATGAAACGACACAAAATATAAAATGCCAGTTTTTTTTGTTATTTAGATAAAATAATATTTCATTTTTCACTGAGTGAAATTATGTAATATTACTGAGATATTGCAATATTACTGTGATATTGTGTAATATTATTGGGAGTACAAATTAGTTTG